AATCAGGACTGGATCTTCTTCACATGGGGGTTCTACTTTACCAACCAAGACCAGACCTAATCTGTGACGGTCTGACCCGGGGATCCCACTGGATCCAGAATGGTTCAGCAGGCGGATCAAATACGTAAGCATAAAGCGCCCACCAGATCCAATCTGCCACCGCCATCGGAGGAGAAGCGCCAGCGTGATTACCGATATTTCGCGTGAGACTGGACAAGATCTCACAAGATCTTGCGTGTTTCCCCGTGTTGTGGCGTCTGGCAAAAATAGAAGACTTGCGCATCTGATCTGGGCGCTGAAGCCAATCCGCAGCGGACGGATTCTGTGGAATCGCACACATCGATTATAACGCTTGCGTACTTGATCCGCCTGCCGTGCCAGGGCGAAGCGGAGACGTTTGGATCCTGTTGGGTTCTGCCTGTAAGTCTGTTCTGAGGGATCTCTACCTCTCCAGGTGAACTCTGGCAAAAACCAAAGAAACTGGAAGTGAAGACCCCTGACCTCTGCTCTGACAACTTCCTGTCCCTACATGTTTAAGCGGCGGGATCACGACTGTTTCAGGGAGACTCTGAAGTTCTAGTCTGGTGTGTTTGTGGAGACTTATTGCACAGCCGGTCCTGGTCCTGGTCTAGGTCTAGGTCACGGACGTCCTGCAGAAACTTTTCGTCCCCTCTCGTCCATGACAGCCCCGCCCCCTCTAAGGTCGAAGTCTCTCCTGTCTGAACTCTCCGATAAAATTACGATCATTTCGATAAAACGTCCCAGAAACGTCCCTAAAAGCCGACCCCTGGTTAAACTCCTCGCCTTCACTCAGAGTCACTTCATAAACACACGCTCTGGTTTTCAGACTTGTCTCAAACGTCCTTCTGGACAATCAGGCGCTGTGGCGGCGGCGGCGAGTCCACATCAGAGTCCCAGAACTCGGAGCGGCGAGAAAAAAAAAAAACCTTCAATCATCAAAAAAAGTTGTGAGCTTTCCTCTCCGGTTGTGACGGCAACAGCGGTAGCTCTGCAGTCACCCCCTCACCCCTCCTCCTCCCCCCTCCCTCCCTCCATCCATCCATCCAACCTTCCCCGTGACCCTCACCCCCCCCCCCCCCCCCCACCCTTCCCCATTAGCCGCAGCTATTACAGCCCCTGAGAGAGAGTCATTACCGCTCCCATAATCCATGATGATGAAGCTCTCAGCTCGAAACACCGGCAGCTTGTACAGGCTGCGCTTGATTGGCAGGATACAGGGGGTGAGGAGGGGGTGAGGAGGGGGTGATGGAGGAGGAGTGGAGCTTTGGTATAGGGGGTTTGTGTGATGGGAACTCCACTCGAGATGTGAATTGGCTTTGCCACTCCAATCAGGCCGCTGGATGACAAATGAAGTGTGTCTCTTTCACTCTCTCTCTCACCCTTCCTCTTCTTCTTCTTCTCCTCCTCCTCCTCCTCCTCCTCCTCCTCCTCTCCCTTCACACTTCTCCTCTCTGTCCGGGTGGAGAAAGAAAAGGGGAGTTCATGTGGGAGCGCTTGACAGCAACACAATCACATTTCTATTCAGCTCCCCCGCCTGCCTGTTTTACCTTCTCGGCAGCCGGGCATGCCATGCACGCTAACACACAGGCCGGCCGGCCAATTAGACGGCGGCGCAAAGAATCTGTGAAAGACACAAAAGGTCTTTAGAGGTTTGGACAGGTGTCTCATTTGGCCGCGGGACATAGTTTAGAGGCTTTTTTATGTCGAGTTTGTGGGCAGAAAGCGAGGAAGGTTATTTGTCGCGCTGTCATTTTTTTCCTCCTTTTTTAACGCCCGTCTCGTTGTCTGTCTGTCGATCCCTGCGGCCCCCTCCATGGGAATGATGGGTAAATTTGAACCGCGGTAAAAAGAGGGAGGGGCCGGGGGGTCGACTCGGCTCGGAGCTAAATAAGTAAAAAATGAAATCAAACCTGATGATTTCTCCGCTCTGCGAAGGGTCAAACCGCGTTTATCTGCGCGTTTTTTTCTCTCCGCCTTTATCGGCGCGTACAGTAATTACAGTGGGCCGGGAAAAACAAGAGCAGAGATAATTGGTTTGTTGGTTTGCGGCTGAGTTTGTTTAGCGGGGTTATTATCCGGCAGCAGCTCCATTATGGCTGCAGCTCAGAAATCCCTCATTAGCATACACAAATATATACAGAGAGGATGTGGGAAGAGAGGGAAACGCAGCCGTGTTTAGTAGCGAGCGCTCCCGACACATGCGCCGCACAAAAACATGCAAATACAATCGACAATAGAGCGGCGCCGACACTGCCTCCAGCTGTGAGGAGACGCAGGGAGGTGTCAGGAGGAGTAAAAGAGGAGAGGAGGGAGGAACGGCGAGGGAAGACGAGCGCGGAGACAGATGTAGCGGTAATTAACACGAGGCCCGGTGGCGGTGGCGGTGGCGGCGGCGATGGTGGTGGAGAACGGCTTGACAGTGGCTTTCACCCTCCGCCATCGTCACCTTCATCGCCATCCTCGTCTTCATCACCGGGGCCTACACAAGCCAACAATCGCTGTCAGTCTGTGTCAGAGCGGCGTGTCGCAGCCGAACAATAACGGCTGTCAGAGAGCGCCGGTTCATCCCGATCCCCGCGCCGCTCGCTTTGTTTGTTTTTAACGCGTCGCTTTGTCCAGAAACGAACGAGCGAGTCGAACCGCCGACACCTGACCGCCTGACCCGCAGGAGCGGCGAGGGCGGAGATACCCACGACATGAGTCTAGAATCAGAACATACAGATGTGAACACAGGCCTAAAGACCGACCAATCAGAACGTGACGCTCTTCTAGAAATCATGGACTGGAGAGTAGACGGTCCAAGTCCAAGTCCAGCATCCATGATGGTCCGAGGATCATCAGAGTCCATGTCCCCTGTAGATTCAGAACTAGATCTCCAGGTTTAGGAGCGTCAGGACTCAGAATCTAACACTCTTCGTTGAAAGGACATCTAGACTAATTGAGACTCAATAAGTCTAGATGTCCTTTCAACGAAGAGCTGGAGATCATAGATGCTGCATCCTCAGTTTTAAACCTATGAGAAGATAAAACATGTAAAATTCAGAGGTTGATCTTTCCTCAAGTCTTATCGTTTTTCTCTTTCCTGTTTACGTCTAGATGTAGACATCTAGTCCTAAATTTCTCCGTGTGTTTACATCTCAGTGTAGAAATCATAGATATTTTGTTGTAGTTGTCTACATCTGTAACGTCTTGATGTAGAAATCTAGTTAAAGTTTTCTTTAGGTCTAGAAATCTAGAAGTTTTCTCTGGGTCTAGAAATCTAGTCATAGTTTGTCTATGTCTGTTTAGGTCTGGGTGTAAAAATCTAGTTGTAGTTTTCTACATCTATTGACGTCTTAATATAGAAATCTAGTCATAGTTTTGTACGTCTTTTCATGATAAGACATAGAAATCTAGTCGTATCTTTCTTCAACCTCGGTGTAGAAATCTAGTTTGTATTTTACTACGTCTGTGTAGAAATCTAGTTTGTACTTGTCTTTGTGTGTAGCGGTCTAGTCATAGTTTTCTTCGTCCGTTTAGATCTTGGTGTGGAAATCTAGTCATAGTTTTCTTCTTGTGTTTACGATGAGACATAGAAATCTAGTTGTCCTTTTCTTCGTCTGTTTACGATCAGACATAGAGATCTAGTTTGTAATTTTCTTTGGGTGTAGAGATCTAGTTTGTAGTTTGTTGTCTTTGCTTTAGTTTTAGTCGTCTGTTTACATTTTGTTGTAGAGATCTAGTTTGTATTTTACTACGTCTGTGTAGAGATTTACTTCGTAGTTGTCTTTGTCAGGATGTAGAGATCTAGTTTATCGTTGTCTTTGTCAGGATGTAGAGATCTAGTTTGTAGTTTTTCTGTGTTTGCTTTAGTTTTCGTTGTTTTCTCATGTTGACGCCGTTTAATCTGATCCGTTTGAGGCCTCATAGATCTGTGAGAGCTCAGATCTGCCCAGAGGGGGTGAGGACTGTGGGGGTGAGGACTGTGGGGGTGAGGACGGGGGGGTGAGGACGGGGGGGGTGAGGACGGGGGGGGTGAGTAAAGGTAATGTGAGAAAGCTGGAGGTGACAGGCATTGTGGGAAGGTGTGAACGACAGAGAGAGGAGAGGAGGAGGAGGAGGACTGAAAAGTGCTCCTTGTCCTGCGAGGAAGAGAGACCTTTTGAGGAGGACCTTCACCTCCTTCTCTCTGCCCCCCTCCCCCCTCCTCCCCCCTCCTCCCCCCAATTAGACAAACATTAACATCAATTAAGGACCCTCACGGGAACACAGGCTCTATATAATTACCTTAATGGGCGGACGCTTTCTCTGCTCCCTCTCTCTTTCTGTCTCTTTCTTTGGACCCTCAATCTCTTAAACAAACTTAGAGGGCCTCAGTGGGAGGGGCGGGGGGGAGAAAACGTTGATCGGCAGCAGGGGGGGGGGAGGCGGGGGAGGGCTGGGGGGTCGTTTCCCGTTGGCTTTTGTGGGGCTGGACTTTGTAAAAAGGCCTCGGCTGAATTGGACCTATTGGCCGACAAACAGAGGAGCTGTTCCCACAGAGAGACCGGAGAGGGACAATACGGACCCCCGACTGAGAGGGGGGGAGAGAGAGGGGAGGAGAGAGGGGAGGAGAGGGGGAGAGAGAGAGGGGGACGACCGGGGGGGACACAGAAGGGAAGAGGAGAGAGGGAACGAGAGGAACGAGAGGAGGAGAGAAGAGAGGAGAGAGGGACATTTAATACTCTAACGGGAGGAGACAGAGAAGGAAGGAAGGAAACAAGGGAGAAGGAGATGAAAAAGGAAACAAGGAACAATCAAGGAGACAAGGGGGAAAGAGAAGAAACAGGGGTACAGGGGAAAGGAGACAAGGAAGGTCAGAGCAGAGAAGCAAAGAAGTGAAGGAAACAAGACAGAAGACAGAGTGAGACCAGAGGTTAGGAAAGGAAACAAGAGAGGATAGGAGGAGACAAGAGCATAGGGAAGGAAACAAGAGAGGATAGGAGGAGACAAGGAAGTAGGGATGGAAACAAGACAGAAGACAGAGTGAGACCAGAGGTAAGGGAAGGAAACAAGAGAGGATAGGAAGGAAACAAGAGAGGCTAGGAGGAGACAAGGAAGTAGGGATGGAATCAAGACAGAAGATAGAGTGAGACCAGAGGTAGGGAAAGGAAACGAGAGAGGATAGGAGGAGACAAGAGCATAGGTAAGGAGACAAGAGAGGATAGGAAGGAAACAAGAGAGGCTAGGAGGAGACAAGAGCATAGGGAAGGAAACAAGAGAGGATAGGAGGAGACAAGGAAGTAGGGAAACAAGATAGAAGACAGAGTGACCAGAGGTAAGGAAAGGAAACAAGAGAGGATAGGAGGAGACAAATGAGTAGGGAAGGAAACAAAGGAAAAGATAAGGAAACAAGAAGGCATAGGAGGAGAGATGGCAGTATCTTAGGAAACAAGACAGATAGGAATGGTTCAAGGAGTCAAGGGAGAAGAGAAGGAAACAAGAGAGGATTAAAATGAAAAGGAACCAACAGGAAAGATAAGGAATCGAGGACAGGAGGAGACAAGAGAGTAGGGAAGGAAGGAAAAAAGACAGATATGAAGGGTTCAAAGATCAAAGGGGGAAGGAAAGGAATCAAGACAGAAGAAAAAGGATGTAAGGAATCAATAAAGGAAACAAAAATGGTGCAAAGTTTAGTGAGGAGAAGTCAAGGGAGCAAATGAGGAAAGAGGAGACAAGAGGAGAGAGAACAAGAGAGGGGAAAGGAAGCAAGGTAGGAAAAAGGAAACAAGTCAGAAAAAAAAGGGGAGAGAAGGAAACGAGACAAGAGGAAAGGAGGCAAGGAGGGAAGCAGGATGGGGTTAAAGGAAAAAGGAAAGGTTCAGGACTCTGTGAGAGACTGCGTTAGCGAACAAAGTTCCAGAGTTTCCTCGTCTCCAGAACTTCATATCATTCAGAATCTCTGGACTCAAAGGGACCAGAACCAAAACCAGGACTGGACGGTCCTGATCTTCAGGCCCTCAGGCGGCGCCGCATTAAAAACAGAGCGGACCCGAGCGCCTGCAGCAGGTCAGGACGGGGGCGGAGATACTCCTAAGTTAAAATCGTACCAAATGGTCGCCCATCTGTGAGCCGAGGAAGATCGCTCAAAGGTGATCTGGCTCGGTACCGAAGACTCTGAATCTAGATGACCCTCGGTCCGAGTCCTTCACTTCGACCCCGTCACTTTATTCAGGATCAGGGCCTGGAGGTCCATCCAAGTCCATCCAATCATCAAAGTTTTAAAGTATCCTTAAACCCGGGGGGGAAACCCTGAACGAAGACCCGCTTTAACTCCACAGACGGACAGAGGAGGTGAAATTATAATAATAATAATAATAATAATAATAATAATAATAAAGTGTTTATTTATTTTAATTCTGTCAGAAAACAAAGTTACAGACTGACTGTAGTTTATTACCGTATTCACTCGAGTAGAAGGCCATCTGTTTTTTCCTGTAAACTGTGTGAACCTCTTATATTTGGAGTTTAGACCCTCTGATATCGACAACATTAGAATTTACATTAAAATCAGAGCAGAACCAGAATATTCAGGTTTACAGTCAAATCCACTCAGTCTGTGAGACCGGAGGTTTTCAGGACAGAAACTTTAACGTATTTTTACAGACTGATCGTGTCTCTCAGAGTCAGACTGTTAGTTCTGTTGTTCAATCGGCACAGGCTAATACTTTGTCGTGTTCTGTTGGCCAATCAGGGACTAGAGCTACGATCAGCTGACCGAGGAGATCCAATAAGAAGCTGGACCTGATGTATGTGGATCAAAACACTCAATAATAAACTGACGTCACTTTTGTGGATTTAAAGTTCTGAGTCGAGTTTATCGTAGTTTGGCGATATATCGGAGAAACTTTGACAGTATTGATGAACTCTCAAGACGATTAAGGACTTCTCTGTAGTTTTATAGTTTTCTATCTCTGTTTAGGTCTGAGTGTAGAAATCTAGTCAAAGTTTTCTCCTTGTGTTTATGATTAGACATACAAATCTAGTTGTAGTTTTCTACGTCTGGTGTAGAAAGCTAGTTGTAGTTTTTTACGTATGTAAAAAACTACAACTAGCTCAGCAGCATTGCATTGTGGGATAATATACTCAAAGTGCAGGAGCTTCATTGTAGTTTATTTTCTATATTTAATTGTCCTTAAACTTTACAAAGTAAATTATATTCACTAAATTGTAATAATAAAATAAATAATAAATTTTAATTATAACGCACTTTTACAAGAGCTCAAAAACGCCATACAAAGAAAATAAAAAAATAAAATAAAATAAAAAACAAAAAAAATACAGAAAATTTCTGGAAATAAAACCAACAATGAAAAAGGTTAAAAAAGATTCAATATGAAAAGACAATAAAAGTTTACAGGTTTCAAAAACAATTTAAAAAGGTGTTTTTAGGAGTGATTTGAGAGTACGGTGGTCTGTACAGTCTCCGGTGGGTTTGATTGTACCGACTATACTTAAAAAAAAGACGTTTGTTTTTGTTTCTTTGGTGTAAAATAAATCAGTCTGAGCTGATACAGATCATTTTAATCTGAAACCCTGTAAATGTGACGACACCGAAAACTTGATTTAAGTTTCTGCCACAAACCTGAAAAATGAAGAACGAGAGGAATTTAGAGAAAAGGTGTTAAAGAGTGAAAATAATGCAGACGAGAAATCAGAGTCACTGATGGTTGGAATAACGACTTTAAAGATACGTGAAGGTAATGAGTCTTTTAATTTAATGACCCGTCTGTTCAAAATGGACTTTCAGGGTCGGCTCTTTTTTCTCTGTTTGAGTGTTTTTATCTTTACTGTCGGACAAACCTGAAAACACCTGAAAACACCTGAAAACACCTGAAAACACCTGAAAACTCCTGAAAACTCCTGAAAACATCTTTTTGTTTTTCTCTGTCAGCTGATCCAGATCCTGTAAAAACTCTGAACCAAACCTCTGAGTCTGTTCGGACTCAGGTGAGGATGAAGGTTCCTGTAAGTCCTGACTGACCGACCCGTCACTCATCGGCCTCTAGAGGGCAGTAGGTGTCCAGGACCTTCGTGTGTGTGTGTGTGTGTGTGTGTGTGTTTGGGCCTCTGCTTTCACACACACAGAGAAACCCTGAAGGCCTGATGGAGTCGCTCCGACTGAAACTCCGTCTGTCTGATTTAGTAACAGGAGGTTTTTCTGATCCAATAAAAACAACGAAAACAAAAGAAAGTGTGTTTGTGTTTAATAAAGAAAAACAGGATTTTCAGCAGCTGTTTGTAAGAAGAAATCAGGTAAAGAAAAATACTCTGATTATTGTGATTTACAAAGTCAAAGAGGGGCAGAAATACTCGACCAGTAAAGTTCTACTGCAACATAAAAATACTGAGAAGTAAAGACGTCAAATCAGAAGAAGAGAGACTTGGAGTCAGCAGATAAAGAAATATCTGTACATGTATGTAAGGCTCTAAAAGGTGAAACTTTAACATCAGAGTAAGAGGAGAAACATCTTTATGAGGATAAATAAACGTGTGAATAAATCTGTGTCGTAAATCTTTAAGAGTTTTAACTTCACAAAGTTTTACTCTGAAAAAATAAACACAAAAACAGAAAATACAAAATTCATGAAAGCAACAACCGTCAGTACGTCACATGACCCGGATCAGACTTATAAAACCTCCATTTTCATTTTTTTTGTAAAGACCAAGGCTGTGTCCGAAGTGGATCTTAGACATCGTCAGATTTATAGAGAAACCACATATGGGAGTTAGAGATTCATTTTGGACACAGCCAAAGTGTCTCGAAACAGAAGAGCTTAAACCTGCAGTTCCCAGAGTGTCCACTAGAGGCTGGCTGCAGAAACAACAAGAACCACATACACACTCAGCCAAAAGAGGTCCAGTTTAAAACCTTTTAATGCCTTTTTTATTATATTTGATACATACTTTTATCAAATCAATATGATCAACTAATGACTAAAAAAACACCTGAATACAGTTCGATAAATGATCAAAATGTCCTCTTGTTGTTTATCAGTTTCCAAAAACATCAAATGTATCAAACGAGATAAAAAATAAATATATTTGTTAAATTTTAAGGACATTTTGATTTTGGTTTTCAGTCGTAAGTAAAATAAACATTTAAGCTCCAAAAAATCTGACTTTTCTGACCATAATTTGTGTTTTAGTTTTTCATGACAAGCTTGTTTTAAAGATTTTAAATTTGAAGATTAGCCAATAAGACGCACGGCTGGCCTCTTGTCAGGTCAGGTCAGTATAACTAATATATCTAAAGGTTAGTATAATAATATAATAACAGCAAAAATAAGAAACTTTAAATAAACTAATAAAAATGTGGCGTCTGCTGCAGATCGGCTTTAAAACTGGAACGAAACATGTGACTTCACATAAACTAGATACAGTTATTATAGAGTCTGGGAGGTTAAAACAGTAAAAACTGATTTTATTTGACATTACTTAAGTAGAAATGCTGCAGAATCTATATATTTATCTCTGTGTTAAAGTCACAAAATCAAAGATCTTAAAAACCAGATCACTCACGCTCCTTCCTCCTCTCTCTCTTCGATCTTCGGCGTCTGATCCGACGGCTGAAAAAACCTGAAACTCAAACTTCCAAACAATAAAAAAGTGTTTTTTTTAATTTATTTATTCTGTCTGCTGATTATTTCTGCCTCACCTGCCCACAGACACAGATGTTTTCACTGTAAACACCAGATTCCTCCTCCTCCCTCTCGCAGCGCCGTGTTTCTGTTCGCCAAACTGAACATCGGCGGCGAAGCTGTCGGCAGACTTAATTAATCAGACTGATTTCATGCAGCAGAAGTAGTGCAGTGATTTGACAGAGATTGCGGCGGGTTGGAGGAGTTTTCGAGGACTTTCTGATGGTAAAAGTGCAGAAAATTTTTCCTCTTTAATTTCCTCCAAATTGCGAGTAGAGAGGCGTGTGACATCAGCGCTCCAATTTACATGTTACACTTGAATCATCTCAGCTGACGGCGCCGTTATCGTTAGAGGAGGTTTAACGGCGAAGAAACTCCGGAGGAAGGGTGGAGGTGAGGAGGAGGAGGAGGAGGAGATCCTGTCTGTGTGACCAGAACATGAGCGCAGGGGTCAAAGGTTACAGCAACCAGTCGATAAACGACTTTAAAGCTCCTCTGAGAAACAGTTTGGGGGCGGGGTTATACTCTTTAAAACTGTCCACACAGGTGTCTTTAAGAGTTTAACCTGAGGGACACGCCCTAAAAAACTTTTAGTGTAAACACGCCTACTCAAGAGGAGGAGGCGGGGCTTTGACATGAGGAGGCGGGGCTCTATCATAGGAGGGTGGGGCTAGATTATGAGAAGGTTGGCTGGGACTATGACATGAGGAGACGGGGTTAAATGTGAGGAGGCGGGGCTATTACATCTGGAGGTTGGGTAATGAAGTGAGGAGGCGTGGCTACTCAATGAAGAGGTGGGGATCCAACAAAAGGGGTGGGGCTATAGCATGAGGAAACTGGGTTTAATGTGAAGAGGTGGGGATCTAGCATGAGGAGGCAAGGCTCTAACATAAGGGGGCGGGGCTATGACATGGGTACACTATGTTTAATTTAAGAACACGGGGCTCTTACAGTCGGGGGCGGGACTTTCACAGTAGGAGGCGGGGCTCTAACATGAGAGGTGGATCCACATCATGAGAAATCCGGGCTGTTATGTGAGGGGGCGTGGCCATCACTTGAGGAAACTAGGCTCCAAAAAGTGCAGATGGGCCTAAAACAGAAGGGGGCGGGGCTTTACATTGGGAGACCTTGTTTAATGTGAGAAGGCGGGTTTCAATCACAGGCGGCTGGTCTCTGACGTTAGAAGGTGGGGCTCTAACATGAGGGGGCGGGGCTATGACATGATGAGACTTGGTTTAATGTGAGTAGGCGGGGATCAGGCATCAGGAGGCGGGGCTTCTTTTATAAGGGGTTGTGGCTTTAACACCAGGAGACTGGGCTCTAACATGAGGAGGCGGGGCTCTAACATGAGGAGGCGGGGCTCTTCAGTTGGCATACCTGTGTCTCTGACCTTGATCCGGTCCTGTTGTCGTCAGTCTTCCGTCACTTCCTGTCTTCTGAGTCTCTGTCGTCGTTTCTTCTGTTTCAGAGGAACTGACTCGACGTTTCCCTGAAACTAAATGAAACGATAAAACCGTCTCGCCTCGACCCTGATCCAGAATCTAAACCTGTCTCCGTCACGTGTCCCTGTCAATCATGCGTCTCATCTTCAGGATGGTTAAGCTCTCCCTCGCTGAAGTTCCTGCGTTTGTCCTCCTCAGTCTTCCTGTTTGTCAGGTTTTCATCGAACTTTTTGGCGACAGATGAATCTCTCCTTAAAGACGTTTTTTTTCCTCGTTTTCACACCACACCTGCTGCGGCGGATAAAAAAACCCTCTCAGGTAAATTTCAGGTCCCTGCCTGTTGTTTGTCACACTGCGCTGAACTCGACTGTCACCGCTGGAAACCTGGAAACGTGGCGAGAAAAATAAGTTTGTCAATCAGAAAAAGGTCTGATGCATTTTGGGATAATGGTGTAAAAATAAACAGCGGTGCGGTCTTCAGAGAAACAAAGCTCGCTGTTTGTGGCGCTGGCGCTCGGAAACCTGTAAAGTGACAGTGAGAGGCCCCAGGAGAGGAGGACTGAGCGCGTGCAGCTGAAAACAAGGTGACATTTGTTAGTGATCGGCTGATTGACGGAGACGAGTTTATTGTTGAGCCGCCAGTTGGACGCGCGGCTGCCACCGAAAAACTTGGCTCACACGGGGACAGCTGTGTTGGAAAATAGAGCTGCTTCCAACTGTGGAAATATCTGTGGACGTCCACTGAGGACGTGTTGGTGTGAATCTGTGGCCCCCCGGCGCCGTCTGCAGGGGCTTCTTCACTCTCCAAACCTGACCACTCACCGCCGCCGCCGCCGCCGCCGCCGCTGCTGCTGCTGAGGCTAAACACAGAGCGTCTTTGTTCACAACAAGAAGCAGAATCTGCACGTTCAGCGCTTCCTGTTATTCAAGGTGTTGAGGGTTTAACGCACAGCAGCAACGCCGCCGCCATCTTTAATGACGGCTCAGACAGAACAACAGTAGAGCGAAGAGACGGACCAAAGATACGAGATCGATCGATTGATTGATTAAAGGTCATGGTCAGGAGTTTGTCATGACCTCCCCTTCAGAGCGACTAAGCGGTTGACTCTCTGACTTGTTTCCTCCCGTAAACCCGTCCTGGTGATTTTCTCGCCATTTCGGATCAATAACAGAAGAGTTTTGTTTAATCTGAGCAGATCTACGGCGAACCTTCTGGATCCTGTCCTGAGACGACGATCCTCACGAACACGGATGTTTTTACGTGATGTTTTCCTCTTTGTTCTCTCTCTTAAAATCATATTTCCCGGGTGCAAAATCGAAGAAAAGCGAACAGTTAATGTGTCTGAGCGTATTCGTGGTCATCAGCGCCACAGTTTTGATTGTTCTGGGTTTCCTTGGTCCTCCTGAGACTCAGCAGGTGTGACGTTTTGTAGTCTTATCTCTGTCGTGTATCCAGTGTTGTTCCTGAACATGTTTAAAAAACGATCGTTCATGAACTCGTTTATATTTTGGGCGAACGTGAACGTATCATTCTTTGTTTACGTTTGAACGTGTTGGTTTTAAGAGCGTCATTCTGGCGTCTGTGAGCGGCGTTCTAAACTCCGTTCACAGGTGTGTCAGATGTCCAGAGTCTTCCAACCACCGTTAAAACACGCCGTAAACAGACCTTCATATTTAGCGGAAAGTCGACCAATCTGGCAACACAAACAGCGTCAAATATTTGAAGATATAAGACAATAAATATGTGAAGAGTTTCCTGGTCGGTTTGTAAAAGTATAAAATCACTTCAGTGTCTTCAGTCGTGTTGTTGTTGTTGTTGTTGTTATAATCCTAATAAAGAGTCTAAGAACCATCCAGCAGCAGGTTTTCCTCGTGTTGATGAAAATAAACTCTAGAGATGAATGTTAGTGACTGAACTAAACTTTAGAGAAACAGCGTTACTCTGAGGACTGTCCTCTCTACTGTAAACCTGTTTGGATCTCAGCCTGATCACCAAAGTTGTCCCCCAAACGTGGTCAAACCGGGTCCACTAACCCCTCACAGGTTCTGGTTCAGAGTCTGCTCTAAACTTTCTTCCCTCCCTCACTGAACTTGAATAATTTCACTCTTCATCACAAACAGCGTTTAAAAAAAATCCTCCTGTTACACAAGCTGCAGCTTCTAGCGCCGTATTTCTACGCTGAGGCCTCTTCACGCCTCTTAAAGTCCTGGACTGTTATTATCGGACCTGCTGGAGCTCAGAGCGGCTGCTGTGTGGACGTTAAACTGAACCGAGGTAAACTTAAACGCCGTATTTTTATAAGAGGAGAGAGAAAGGAAGTTAAAAGGCTTTAATTTCCTGTTTCAGCGTGACCTTCGACAGCAGTTTCTCCCCTCTTCAGTCCACGGCGTCTCCATCTCTCGCTCCGCGCTCACAGCGACGTCTCAGTCTCCGAGTGTTTCCACAGATCGTCGTCACGTTTTCCTGACGGTGGGGAAATTCAGGCTTTTGTCAAACACCGGCGGGGTCGCATCCCCGCCGTCCCTACCCGGCTCTGCGACCTCAGGCGACGATTGAAAAAAGCCAAATTACACCGGTGTTACACTTAAAGTCTCGGCGGCGTACTCGCGCCTTTTATTTTTCCCCGGCTGAAGGTGATGATTTAAGCTGTCATGTTGCCGAGCAGTTTAACAATGGTTTTATAATAATATTTCAGAAAACTCAAAAAACATCCAGGACTGGGTCTGTAAAGTGCTTCAGTGTTTGTGCCTTTTGTGTGCGGCTCAGCAAAGGTAACGATTTAATCTGACATATTTCGGAGCAGCAGAATAATAATATTTCAGCGTGGTCTTTCTTAATAGCGGGGGAGAACAAAAGGCTGCAGGCCATTCATCCGGCTGAAGGCTTACTTTGACACCGGCTGCTCGGGGCGCGGCGGGGGCTCCGCATACAGAGTCGGGGGGTTTATACGAGCTGCTGCTCAAACACATTGACAGGGAAACATTAGCGGGTCCTGAGAGCGGCGGAGGTCACGAGTTTGATGAAACGCGGCGCATATAAGACGCTCTGCGGGCAGGAGAGACTCGCAGAAAGACGAGATTTTTTCACAATCTGACGTTTTTAAGAAAGTGACAAAAATATGAAAATGGAGAAATCAAAAATATGATATCAGTGAGGAAACGCTCCTCCTAAAGACGTGAGGAGGAGTGGTCAGCAATCGATGGGCGGAGTCTTTCATTAACATAAATACCATATAATATGAACATTCATTCAAAAGAAACAGCATCTGTGTAAAACCTGTCTGTGTTGGAGCTTTAAAATACTTTTAAAAGACGTTTTCTTTGATATTTTTGTGAATTTTAAACTATTAGATTTTCTGAACCTTTAAACTCTCGACATTTAGTCCAATCTGAAGGTTTTTAACTTTATATTTTTACTCTCCTGGTCGTAATCGACGACATAAAGATCAGCTTACACAGGATATATTTGAAACTTGAGGACTTAAGTGCACGATGAGTAGAAATGAGAATATTTTAGGTAAGAGATTTTAACTCAAACACTTTATTTCTGTCCTTTAACATTTTAAAGTTTGAAAATAACTTGAATTTCAGTTTTCAGCGTTTTCGCCTTTTTATTTATTTTAAATTACTTGCACAAAACAAGTTTTTCTCTTTTTAAAATCTTAATTTTAACATTTTAACTCATTTTAAGTTTTTTAAGAACGCAATTAAAATAGTTGAACTTTAATTCAACTTCTTAAAACTTTCAACTTTTCAACTTTTTTAACTTTCATAGTTTTTTCTTAGTATGATTTAAATTTTTTCTTTTAAGCTCAGTATTCACTTAATTTTTTAACTTTTGTCAAACGGGGAAACTTTTGTGAATGTTTATTAACTCTAAATTGATTTATTAACTCTAAATTAATATCTTTAATTATAACTGATGTGAGTATTTAAGGTCGTCTTTGTTTAGCTTAGTTGTCATAAGTATAAATATATTATATATTTACACTTTTATAGTTTCATTCTTACAGTTTATATTTATTGTTGTTTTGCACCGTGGGTCTGAGAGGACTGAAATTTCACCTGTGTGTATATTAAACATGTTTATCATATTTGACGATAAAGTCGACTTTGACATGAAAAATCTGAGATGAGCGACACGGAGACTTTGATCTTATAAATTATGGGATTATTTTATGTCAAACTGTCTCTTTTTTCAGGCTTTAAAAATCAAGTTTTCTGGATTAACTTTAATTTTACTCTCTGATTTATTTTTCACTTTTCGTCCTCGCAAACTTCACCTTCTATACGTTTGACTTCTTGACTTTCCCTGTATGAGTTTCTTTTTATAACGCTTCAGAATCAGGCGGCAGCTTCAACTCTTTAGCTTCATTCACACTCTCTCGTTAACTTTCTGACTTTTCCGTTCCCGTTAACTGAACCGCTGTCATCTTCAGATAATTGCCCGCCGTTCTGTTTTCCCGATTACGTCGATTTTCCTCCGAACTCTCTTAGTTTCTCTCTCTTAAAAAATTCCACTTTTGTTCAGAACATTAAATCTTTCTCATCGACGTTGAACCGCGGACACAGAGAAATATCGTCTTTTTAAGGCGGCAGGAAGTTCGGCTGTTAAGAAGAAAGATTTTGTAAGAAGTGAAGAAGAAAAGGAGAAGATGATAACAGGAGTGGGAAGACGAATCTTTATATTTTACAACTTGCATGTTGGGTTTGAGGAAATGGAGCATTTGTTGAGTGTGTTTTTCAAAGCAGGGAGAAGGCAAATTATGTTTTTGTGATGAAAAGCGTATTTTCGGGTGTTTTGTGTGAATACAATCTTTGGTGTTTTCTGGGGGAGAAGCTAATGATTTAAGCTTGACATGTCAGCTCAGCTTAATAACAGCAGAATAATAATATTTCAGCTCGCTCTTTTATAAAAGCGCCGGCTGCGAGAAAAGGAGAGCGAGCGGGCCATTCATGCGGCATGATGGGTAGTTTGACA